GCTATTGGTATCGATTGATGTAGTAGTATGTATCACTAATCGAAGGTGGAATTCCTAGTTGTAGAAGGTTGAGAAAGTCGAAGAGAAGAGAACGACTACAGGGAGATTGGTATGGAAACGAAGGAAAAAAATATTGCGAGACAATTGATGAATATTTTGCAGATGAATTATTTTATGTATGGTTCTCAAATTTTGCCAAGACATTGTGTGGTGTTGCATGGAATTACATCAGGTTGTCCCCACCTGTGCTCTCGTCCACCACAGTGTGACTCCGAAACATGCCCCGGCTTACAAGATCGATGTATAGTCTTTCATTTGACGTCACCTAGTAGACAAAAACTGACGCGATTTTCTCTCCATGTATCTGGAGATCCCACTGGGACTTTCTGTCTTCTTGTCGATGTAGATATATAACTTTAGTTTCAAAGATGGAATAGACCCCACAAAACTGGATTCCAAGAGTCAATCTCTCGCGCATTGTTCGACTTATTGGGGAAGCAACATCTTAGAAAGATAGGTACAAACACTGTTGCCGACTCCCGAAACTGTGTTCAGATAACCATCTATTTCTACTAAGCACCAGCGTTAATCATAAGGAAAGATATCGTCTGAAACGACGACCTATATGATTGATTAAACGACGGAACCATCTAAACCATATCACCATCATTCATTATTGAGACAGCTCAGTTAAACTGTCGCTCATTCTGTGACACACTTTCCGACTCAGGTCATGCTCTAGTGTGGTCACATGTTAATCTGCGTCTTACTGGAAACTGGACACCTCTTATGATTCAGCCGAATAATTAAATTGTCAATGATATATTCCGGGAACAAGAAAAGAAGTAACTGACCAACCACGAAAGTGACATTCACTTTGAACTAGTTTTGCATAACATAATACCAACTACCAACATACATACCACTACATCTGTCGTCATCAGTATCACACATCACTCTAATACAATTATTATTACTACGATTACTACTACTACTGCTGTTGTGAACAAAAACACGAGTGGGACAATCGAATGTGCTTAACACAAAATTACAGGATTTGTTAATAAAATCTAACAATCATATAGTAAATATGTAACTTGCAAACTGTCCACCAATTGTCTCAAAATGACTCAGACTTCATTGTTCTTTCATTTTCATGCGAATTGCATTATGTTTCCATTCTTTACTGTCCGATCATCTTGTCCCTCTGCTGCCAGACCTTCTGTTCACGACTAACATCACATACTACTTATGTCGATATAAGTAGCACACCATAGTCGTAAAATTTTCAAGGTAAGAAAAATAAAACATTGAGCAACTGACAATACTTTAGGATATTTTGAGCTTCTTATGATCGGCCATAGGTGATCAGCATCCATGAGGTTACTGAGATTATCTGTATATTCAATGATGGATTGAATTCTGTAAAATATAAAGTTTCAACCTATTTTGAAGAGCAGCACTAAACACACTTTTTAATTGCATTAAGATCGCTTCTCTAAAAATATTTTGTCAATCCCACATTCACAGATCTCATTTAAGAGCTGTCATGGATTATTTTATTCAGTGCCACTTTTTGTTGACTAGGTAATTGTTTTCATTGGGAATGTTATGTATCATGATATGAAATCTCATCATGGATATATACGTCTACAAGCAATTACGTATACGAAATATGATGATTTTCACTTTATCTATTCATAATTAAGCGTGAAAGTTTTCGACTATCCAATGAATGATCAACTGTCTTCTAAATTTCTAAGATGTTCCTCTCTTATCCTAATTTTGATGTGATCGACATTTCGGAAATTATTGACTACTTATCTCGTCTAGATTGATGTAGATAGATATTGTAATCTGTTAGAAATTCTTTCATCTAGAGAATCATTTCTGAGTCTGATTACAATTGTTACTTTGCTTAGTCCGTAAGACATGTAGGCTAATAAATTAGTGTAGTTAAGTGGTAATATTTTATTTCTATACTCTCGTTTCTGTCAGTTTATTGTTAGTGATTTTCGAAATGATCAGTATCTACAACAACCATTCAATATTAGGTCACACTAACTTGATTTTCCAAAATTTGATGCTTAATAACATTACTTTGTGCATTTTTCCATCTCTATTTTTTGTTCTAAACTCCCTTAAATACTCCTTGAATTTAGACATTTCAGGTCTCACTGTTTCATATTTTCCAAATTTTTGTGAAAACACGGTTGTCCGGAAATTAAATTTAAAAACATTATTAAGGACACCAATGTTATCTCACTACAAGTAATTGACATGTGTGGCATTATTCCTCTCCTTTTTCACCAGTATAATTACTGAAATGACATTTTAAATTATTGAGTTTGCTGTAATATGTAGTATCTGAGAATTAATACTGACAACCCAGTCTTCCTACACATACCTCCAACCAATTAATTGAGTTGGGAGATTAAGAGTAGGAAAGAAAGTTTATTGATTACACCGAATCAACATGCATGTACATTTGTTCAGAAAACATGCCATCGAATACTTGATGTCTAGAAGACTAACTTAAGTAACAAACATTCAACTTGATATCGTCACTAATGTACGATCCATCTGTAAGCTTTCTAAATAATTTTGACTTATTTAAAGGTTTTTCATGAGATACATTTAGAGCGGTAAACAAATACTCAAATTAGGCAAATCTGTGAATCTTCGACATCGATACTGACCTTATTATTTCTAACGGAAGGCACTCGGTCATGCATTCGCCTCAGATAACGAGTGGGTATGCCTTACTATACATCCCTTGAAACTACTGACCGACATAAATCAAACGCTTCTCGACGTGTTGATAGCTTTACAAAAATATATCCTAGAACCTCATCATTTCTCACTTTTGATCTGACTGGGTCGGTATCATTCAATCATAAAGGTGTTGCGTGCGAATGCGTCGTCACACTCCGAATACCTGTGGCATCTTTGGTGGTGTGGCAAACGTCAAACAACAAACTATGAGTCTTTCCTTTATTATAACACTATAGCTTTTTATTTTTACATATAATCATATCGTTTTTTGTATTTTTGCATGTTTTTCCATCCACTTTTATATTTTAATGTTCATTATGTCGGAACAGACACAAAGGTGTTTAAGATTGAGACTTTTTCGTCTTATATGTTTCAAGTCATGACATTCTGGCCCGATAATATAGAAGCCTGGCTTCGCCACGCAGAAGCTGACTTCCACGAGCATGACCAATACATTCACGTGCCCAATTCCTCGAAGTTCTGGGGACATTGTTAAGAGATTTCCACAAGTACGTCGCATCTAAATATTAGCGTGAGTTCCTGCCTGTCAGTTTTCATCAGTTTTCTACCTTCACGTACATAATGTCGAATTACCATTAGTTTTATTTGGTTGCCCATCGCCTTATAAATAGCTATCATATTCCTACGCTTTTTTACCTACACCGGTAAACATTTTATTCTAAATTATACCCTTCCTAACTCCTGTGCTTTGATTGGCAACCTATGATTTATGCCTTAGTCATTTAAGGCATTGCATCGATGCCTCACCCACGGTCCAAAATCTGTGAACGACTGACGAACTTGTAAAATGGTACTTATAGAAACAGTGTTTTTCAACAGGATGCGAAGAAAACAACATCGTGTGAGATATATTTTATCTACAAACAAATCTTAATGGGCCTATTATCAGGAAATTAGGGAGTGTGGAGTTACTGATGATGAGGGCGTTTAATTCAATCTGCCTGTGTTTGTGGGGCAGAAAATTTTGTCGCTTTCAGGCTCTATATGTTTGAAGACAATGCAACCAGCCAGTGATCCTGAGATTGTTTTCCTAGGCTCACCATTCAAACTCATGTTTCCAATTTTATACTGGATTAGCTATTCTACTAATACAACCTATAACACGCTAACTTGAACTTTTAGACTAGGACTGTGTGGCTGGCATCAGATGGAAGAAATTTAAAAAGATCAGACAACAAAAGATAGAATTACTGGTCTTTTTTGACTCCTTGCTCTCTTGATGCACTTCCCATATAGAGCGTTTTTCATTTTAACTTGTACTTGCCTTCCATCATTTGAATCCAATTCAATTTATCACATATCACAACTCATAGTTCTCTATTACCGTATTCTCTTATCCTAAGCCTCTAACCACATTTCACTCCAGCAACAGAAGCTATTATGAGTTTAATCTATCAGTTTATCGTGCCTTTGCCTGCTCAATTACCAACTGTTGAGGATTGTTTGGCGTCTGTATTCAAGTGACATTCGGATATTTTGTTCCTCTTTTTCATCATAAGGCTATTGGGACGCAGTCATGGAGCGACCGACGCCTGAAACAAACTTAATGTGTTTTTTCAAGGTCAAAGCTCATACTTTATGATATTCATGAACTTACCAAGACTTACTACATAAATACTTAGCACGACTAGAATTATAACACAATAACACCGAGTTTAAATCTGGTGTGCAAAGTGGACGCGATTCCATTTTGCAAAAATATTTTACCAACTACACTCAGTGTAATACTAAAACATAAACTTAGTCATTAACGCTTTGGGATATCTGCATGCATACACTGTCTTTACCTTTTATTGACTTCACTTATTTAACAACACCACGTGAGAAGCAAGCTGTAAGCAGACTAACGTTGTAGCTTCTATATTATGCCTGTAACAATGTCGTTTTCCTGCCCTGGTAGAGATATATTACTATAAACTACATATTATCTGGACGGTATTTCATAATTTGTGGTATTCGTTGTGAACCGAGGATCACTGACTGATTGTGAAGAATCATCCACAAACCTCAACTGCACAAGCATTGAACAGGACAACTGCACACCCACTTAGTTGGTTTATGATTTATCCTAATTTACCACCACTTCATATCTTTCAATTATTTTATTTAAATCCAACTCCCTCTGCGATAAGATGGCTAATCATAGATTCCTAGCTCACCTGGTCAATCCATGTTATATTCTGATTACTGAAATCTGATGCCCA